CCAGAATGTCTATTTGGTAATGACCAGAATGCCTAATGACCAGAATGTCTATTTTAAGGACAGTGACATGGAGTGACACAAAAAATTTTCATCATGCTCTGTCCAGCAGCCTCTTCTCAAAGCTGCAGCAGCTGCAGCTGCTTCCTGAGCAAGGGCTGGAGCAGCTGCACGTGCACTTGGAATGCTTCTCTTGCAACTGGCAAAAGGACATCCACTGCAGGCAAGGTATTGGAAATATCACTGTGCAGCAATAGTTTTAATTCCCTTTGCTGAATGCAGTAGCAGCTTCCTGCATGCAGGCTTCCTGCTGTGTGTGTGAAGGTACCTGGAGAAGGGAGAGGGACTCGAGAAATTGTTCTAGTCCATGGGTGATTTCCTTCCTAGGAGTATTCTCCATGTTAAATGCAGGATCTTTTTCTGAATTTATTCTCTGTTTATTACAATCTCTCACCCAGCATTTATTTTTTTATGGCTTAATATTTAATACAATTCAAATGTAGAGAGTGACAATATAACACAGAAGAGAATTCAGTATTGAGAATAATTCTAGACTTCTGAGGCAATGGGAGAAAGATAAACTTGTGTTCTTTTTGACTAACACATGTCAGAGCAGTAATGACATTGACTGGAAGATGTTTCACTTTTCAGTGATACTTACGCCATATGTCATTGCAAGAAGCACAGAGAGCAGCAAAATGCAATAAATGAAAATAAATGCTTTGTACTTACGGCTAGTTGTAACATTAAGCCCTTCCAATGTGCAAGATAGGCAATGTCTCCTACAGAGCTAAACTTGACCACATGAGGAGACATGAGGAAAGCATGTATATCAACTGATCTCCCTTTAAAGTGGGCAGACTGCTTATCAATTTTCAATAAAAAGCTGGAACCCCTCTAACACCATTCTAGCTAGGAAATTTTGGCTGCAAACTTTTTTTAATGTGAAGAGTTCCATTCAGGAATGTAGGAACTTTCTGGATTTTGCGTCCTACTCAGTAGCTCACTTCAATGTGTGTTTCAGCTCCTTTCACTTGAATAGACCTTGCTTAAACCTAATAATGTGCAATACTGAATATCTCAGCAAATATGGGCAAAAAAGCTTGACTAATATTAAAATCAAGTCTGTACACAACATCCATTAGGACAACATGAGGAAGACTCATAGAGAATGAGAGAGTTAAATTTAAATTTTCTCTGTATGTTGCAGTCTTGGTATCAAAAGGGAATGGGGCCATTTTAAACAGAGATCTGATTGAAGAGATCAGAGAGATGTGAATCTCACAGCCAGATACCCACGCACACAGCCTCTGAAGTCAGTGCAGCTGGACAGTATTATTTGTGTGCCCTTATCAAGCTCTGACAGACATTTTTACCTCAAAAGGTTCATTACTGAGAGATCAGAATCACAGTTCCTTATGCAATAACGAAGCTGCACCAGAAGAGAGGGCGCAGCACTGGCAATGTGCAAGCCAGAAACAAGTGAGAGAGGCCAGACTGTGTAAAGCATCTAAACTGCAAAAAAAAGTCCAATTCCTAGCAGGTGGCTGTGAAGTTGTCTGAAAGTGCAGTCTCTTGATTCTCTGCTGCTCTTTGCCTGGCCAGTCTCCAGGAGATGATTTGGAGAGGTGTAAAAGCTGCTTGAAATGAGCTGAGCACACTGGGCTCAGGGCTCAGAGCAGCCAGCTGGAGCTGCCATGCCCTGCACCCTGCAGGCACCCACGCCTCTGCCCACCCCTGCTCACCCTCCCCTGGTGCTGCCACAGCCAGCAAGGGGACGGGGGACACACAGACCTGAGCCTCTTACAGGAACACAGAGCCTGGAGAGCACTGAAACGCTGAGAACTGACACTGTGCCCATGGCAGCTCTGTCTGATTTGGTAAAAAGCCTGCATCACTCCCAACAGAAAATTGTACATTGATTTTACTCACAAATGCATGACAGCAATTAATTTCCAATGCTGGCATTAACAAATGTGGGCACAACAAAATATTTAAAGAAAGTCATAGCAAAACAATAAACAATCAGAAAGCAGTGGCTAAATACAATTCATAACTGTTAGGCATGGCTACAGCAATGCTCTTAGACTGGTACCTTATTTTACACTGAGATTACATAGACAAGTCCAAAAGTATTTTGAATTTTGACCTTTGTAATTACATCATAATTACAGTGTCCTGGGTAACAAACTAAGACTTTGTAAAGCAGGTGTCTAATTAATCTGAAAATGAATGCTTCCTTTATCTGACACGGCCAGTGGTTTTACCTTTACTGGTATAGATGGTTTGTCTGATGGCAAACATTCCTTTGTAAAAATGTAAATGCAACTGATCCTGAAGGAAAAAAAAATATCATAAACCACCAGTAAAAATAAACTGCACTGCCCTCTAAAATGGCACAATTTTTGATGCTCATTGTGAACAGATTTCATGCTGGTTTGACCAGTTCTCTTCTTACAATGTAGAAGTGTTTTTGCATGAAATGTATTAATTGATGTAGAGCCCTCTTCCCTCATTCTGCAGCAAGTTTTGTCTATCAAAACATTGGTTGAGTCCAATGAAATGAGCTGATTCTATCTCACCCCACGATCTGAACTTGTTGTGTTTTGTTACAGGAACTTTTAAAGGGTTGTCTTGCATGAAAGATGAATACAAATATTCGCCAACCAATCCCCAAATCCAAACCCTTGATTTTTCAGAGGTTTCTGTTTAGCAAAATGATGACATTTAGCAATAACAAATATCTCCCTGGGTGAATTATTGCATACTTGCCTCCTGTGGGGTTTCTGCAGCTCCCTGTGCTGCAGCTGAACACGCGGCTGGCGAGATTGCCGCTAAAATCTTTTCCAGAGCAGAGCTCAGAAACACACCTGGCTCTGGCTGATCAGGTTCCCTCTCTGCAGGTGAGAAAAATCTGAAAACCCCCAACTGCACAGCTGACATCTGGCAGGACTGGAGCCCAGCCCTGAAACCTCATCCATAGGAATCCTGATGGACACTCTCAGTGCCTGAATGATGACTGAGCACTGTGTGAGAACTCTAAATCAGCAGTCAGGCTGACAAGCATCAGGCAGGGATTGCTCCAGTGAATTCAGAGTGCTTGGTGGGGCAGGGGGTGACTGTGAGCACCCAGGGCACCTTTCTGTTTGTGCACACAGAGCTCCTGTCTGACTCAGCCATCACAGGGCAGGATTCTCTAAGAGTGCCAGGCATTACAGAGTCCTTCCACTGCACAGATGATGGGACCTGCACAGCTAAAACAGCACTTTTCCAAAGGGCGCCCAAAATGAATACAAGAAGCAGCATTTTTAATTATGGTTCCATAGACTGGTGCAGCTCACAAACCCTGGAAAACACAGGACAGCTGTTTAAATACTTGTGGGAAAACTGATTTTCACTGACAGGACTGGGAAGCACTCCTTAGGGATATTAATATCCTTACTGTTGTGAAAAATCAGAGTTAAAATACAAAATAATTGATGTTAATGTAAGTATCTTCTCCATTTCATTTCCTTGTTTCAACATTAAAATTGAATTATCTTTTAGAATATTAATAAAATTTAATAATAAAAATTTAGCTGCTGCCACTTTAGAGACACTGCTTTTGTAGCTGGGTGCATCCATGATTCTGATCATACCTTTATGTTGTAAATATGATCTAGGAACCAAATCTGGAAATGAAACTAAAGCCCCACTTGGCAAACATAATTAGACATGTTCACTGATACTGTCTGGAAATGTGCAAGTGCAGTGAGCCTTTGTTCACTTTATTGTCTGCTTGTTCTGTACCATTGTCACCTCCTGTGTGGTGGCACCCAGCAGTAATCCTGGCCCATGGCACCTTCTGTGAGCCAGGCTTCTGTAACCAAAGTTGCCAATAAAAAGCCTGGAGCTGGTTAGTGAGACATAGGGCTCTTCTCTTGAGTAATCTCAGTGACTGGGTAAGTATCAAAGAGATGTTTTACAAAAACCAAAGGCAAGTGTTTTACATTAAATCTTACAAAACTGTACATAAGAATAGTCTACAACATGAAAATGGACATTAAACAGTTGTAATAGTTATGAAATGTAGTAAATATAACAATTCTAATGTTTCATATATTTATCATATTAATCACTGTATTCATACAGTTGTGTTTGTATACATATATTCAATGGCACTGTAAACAGTTGTTGGAAAACACACATTAACTCTTAACCATTAGAAATTATTATAGTACTTTTTCATCCAAAAAGTTAAAATGCATCAATGTATCATTGACTTAAAAAAAATAGCCTTGTAATATAATGCACATTTGACATTTTCTAGGGTAGCAATCAAGATGAAGCATAACAGAGAACGATCTAGATTTCAGAATGTTTTACATTTACACCTAATGTGATACAAAATTTTAAACATTAAATGTAATTAAATAATACACAGTTTATGAAACAGTTGATTTCAGAGTTCCATAATGCACAAGATCTAGTTAGTGTCTAATGGGAGTTCCCAATAATTTATATTTCTGGGACCTTTATGAAAAACTTAAGCTGGTTTCTATGTAACATCTCATAGGTAAAGTAAGTTTGAACTGAATTATCTTTTTTTTTCTTTCTTTTTTTTTTTTTTTTCTGTACAGGGCTGCATTTAGGTGGATAAAACATTATTATGTTTATTTATGTTTCCCTTTGCTGGACATTCATCCAATAAGCCTTGAGTATATGCTTAAGTATCTGGTAATGACATTTTTTGGGGCAGGGAAACTCACTATCTATGTCTCTCAGTAAACAAAGTGGTTCTATTTTTTTCCACAGTTAAGGCAACTATACTGATATATTAGACACACCATATGTTTTTATGTTGCTTCCTACGATCTAAACAATAAGAGTGAAAAGAAGTTTCAAGCATGCTTTGATCTTCTTGGCCACTCAGGAATTCCATCAAGCTGGTAGAGAGCACTTCACCCTCCATGGGAGCAACCTGGCACCTGGGTTGGTGAGAGGGGTCCCTGCCATGGCAGGGGGCTGGGATTTGATAACCTTTAGGGTGTATCCCAACCCCATAACATTCTGTCATTCTGTGAACTGGAGCACAGCTTGTTAGCTGCTCACTTAAAAAAACAAAGTATGGATTGCCTTGAATTTGAAGACTGACCATTCATATAACTTACCAGAAAAATTAAACAAATAAACAACGGCCAGTCAGATTCTAGCAAACGAAATTGATAAAAACAGTAACACACACATACACAATTTCTGGGTTTTCAGTTATTTCTACCGCATAACTTGAGCTACACAGACCCTTGTGATCATCCTCGCTGTACCTTGGGCGGGCTTTGCCAACAGCTATCTTCAGCCATTGAAAGTGATGACACTTGGTATCTGCCAACTCCAGCATTCCAATCCTTATTTACCCTAACAAATCACATCAACTAGAGAGCCATTTCCATTTGTTTCCAGTCGGGTAAGGCTGCAGGTATCAGTGACAGTGAGCAGGAGCACAGCAGGGCAGTGCAGCTACAGGGGACAGTGCCACAGAGCTGCCAGGGCTGCCAGGACAGCAAGGGGGGCACTCAGGGCTGGGCTGCTCCCAGTGCCAGTCACACTGTGCTTGGAGGATGACTTGACAGTGCTTGTGCTGGTTGTGGTGTCAATCTTTTTCACGGTTGGTTTTGGTTCATTTCTCTTCTCTGCATGGGTTTTCTTGTCCTTGAGTACATCTGAAAACATGAAAGTGAACATGAGATTAATCACACATCTTTTAAATGGTGCTTGAACATATTTAAATATTGCTGGAACGTGGTGTACACTCACTGTGAATAACTGAAACATGAATGGAGACTGATGGGGCCCTTGCACTCATGTTTTAGCTGGGCTCAGTGTGGCTGCTCTGTCCTCAGCACCCTCTGTTGTGCTCAACATGTCTCTGCCTGCCTGGTGGCTGCTCACAGACACAGCCTGAGCAGAGTGACAGCTGTTCTGCATTGCAGTGGCTGGGCTCAGAACCTCATCTCCCACAGAAAGCACCTTCAGTTTCACCTGGGCTGGGAACTAGCTGATGCTTTAAAATGTGCAGTTAGGATTGAGTGGATTTGTAACACACCACAGTGAAACCCCCTCCAGGCTGGTGGGTGCTACAGGAGATTGGATATTGACTTAACAGAACCCCAGAATGGTCTGGGTTGGAAGGGACCTTAAAGATCATCTTGTTCCACCCCCTGCCATGGCAGGGACACCCTGCACTAACCCAGGTTGCCCAAAGCCCCATCCAGCCTGGCCTGGGACACTTCCAGGGATGGGGCATCCACAGCTTCTCTGGGCACCTGTGCCAGGGCCTCAGCACCCTCTGAGTACTGAACTTCTCCTGGTGTCTAACCTAAATCTCTCCTCTTTTCATTTTAAATCACTATCTCTCGTGCTTTTCACTGTCTGCCTCTGCAAAGGGTCACTTTCCTCCCTCTTTTTTTAAGTCTCCTTTAAGCACTGGAAGGCTTCTCCCTCCAGATGCATTTTGAGGCAATGCCATGTATTCTTATATAAAGAATTGGATTCAGAAGAAAGGAGTAGCCCTTTATTGCAAAAACATGGATTTGTTTTTTTACAGGGAGAAAATAATAAATCTTCAGTTATGAAGACATTTCCAAGCCATTTGCAAATATTACTGAGACCATATTGCCCTTAAACCCTCTCACTGGCATTGTGGAGGAAAAACAAACAAACAAACCCAAAGACTGTTTCATCTGCTGAAGGGATGATGATTTTATAGTCAGTCTGTAAAAGCATACCTGAGTGCTCAGAAAGAACTAATGCCTACCTGGGAGAATTTATAATTAACAATAAATGTTCAGGTCCAAGTCTAAAGGATTTGTGTTACTAATGAATGCAGTGCACATACAAAAGAAAGCAAAAGGCATGGATTTGTAATGCAGATGAAACAGCAGTCCAATCTTAAAATGAAAACTCTGAATCACAGAAGCAAGTTCCTGGCAGAAACTGGAAAGATGGAAAGTATTCCAGAAATGTAAATGCAATCTGAGATCATTGTCTGCATGTCAGTAGTTCTGAACAACCATCAATAAATTCGCTTGATACTAAAAATGAGCTATTGTATTGGGAAAGCACACATTGTTCTTTTGCCAGAATAAACTGTGAAAGAAATGCAATGAATCCCTCCATTTTATCATAATATCAACATTAATCCCAGAGGAATGTGAGAGTCCTACACCTGACTCAAGAGGGACTGCAGGGAAGGGACAGCAGCTGGCAAGGCATGCTTTGGGAAAAGGGTATTGTGACATTGTGCTTGAAATTCCTTGTGGCAAAGTGCAGGCAGGGCTCCTCTGTGATTGCAACCTGCAGTGGAGCTCACAGAAAGGAGGGGGAGAAAAAGCATGCTCCAAGTGTTTAGAAAATATCAGTATTCTGAGGACATTTAAAGAAAAATGGACAACCTTCAGACTGTCATTAAAGTAAATTAAGAATAAATCATGGAAATAGGTGTGTTCTGACACTGCCTCGAGTCCTTTCCATCACTGTCACTCTCCTTTGCAGCTGCACTAAAGGCACTATTTCTCTGCTGCCTCTTATATCATCCCAGCCTGCTGACTTCAGCTCTCTGGGGCCAGCTGATTAAATTAAGACCTCACTCAGGTAAATCCATTCCCTCTTTCAGCTGGCCATGTCCAGCATTGTAACTTGATTGGCGTCTATAAATCGGGCAGACTGAAATGTATTAATTCTTTTATTTTCTTACTATTGACTTTAACAAAAATCTAGGCTAAGATTTAATGCTATCAGAGAGACTGTTGGTTTTTAAAAGCTTTCCTCTCAGTCACTGCTTAATGCACTACATAACAAGCATTAAATAATACATTAGAAAATTCTGCCTCTATCCTTTCCAGGGGAAGGGCTCCATTCTGAATTCTCTCTCTGTCTTCACAGCAGAGGATCTTCTGATGCTATTCATGGCCAATTCTAATTTGGGATCTAATTGTGCAAAATTGGCATTTTATTTATAATGCCTTGTTTTCTCTTTCTTAAAAATAAATAAAAATAGCTTAACTTTCAATTCAGTTCAAAATCTTTTTCAATCCTCTATTTGGCTTTTAAGGCACAAATTTCAGCAGTAAAAAGATTTCCCATTTTATTCAAGCTTCCTCAGAGTTCCTGTTGCTTACTCACTCCACGATTTTGGCTGAGAGACTCTGAGTTAAATGAGTTTTTCCCCTTAAATCTTTTCCTCTGAGTCAGAGATGGTTATGTTCAGTCTACTACTGACATTCAAAAGGCAAAAAAGTACTGATCATGCTAGGAAAGAAAAAAGTGTTAGTGTGAAGACTAGCACAGAAATGAAACTTCAGTCTCAACAGAGCAAACCCCAGATGTTCAGCACCCATGAATTCAGCCCCCGGAGGTATGACTTCATAAAACCAACCCACCAAACCCCACAGCTTTGGGTTGTTCTCCTGTTTACCTTCTGACTTTTAAAGGCTTTATGGTTGCCCACTAGAAGCTTTCTCCATTGTGAGAAACTTCCTTCCACCATCAGTCCCTCTCTGTGTGTGAAATGGAGTGGCTGAGCCCTCTGGAGACTCCAGCTCCCCTCAGGCTGACAGGGGATGGCCTTTGGAGCCTGGCACATGGAAATTGTTCTGAGCTGTTTATTGTCACTGCACCATGGTGCTGATCCAGCCTCTGCAGTGGTGGCTGTGCTGTTCCCTCAGCCAGCTCTCAGTGAGGATATTCAAATCCTGCCAAAGAGGGTGCTTAGTGAAGGCAGCTGAGTGCCCAAGCAGCCTTTCTGAGCAGCCCTTTGGGACTCCTGCCCAGGACAGGGTCTGCTGGGGTCACTGGAGATGGCTCACGGCTCCTCCAGCCCCGTGATTACAGCTCAGATAGTCCAGGGGATTGAGTCCACCTCCTCAGCTGAACTCTCATCTCTGTTAACTCTGCTGAACTCACATCTTGACAATATAAACAAAACACAGAATGAAAATGGCTTGACCTTGCTGTTGAGTGTTCAGGATTACCTTCAGTTCCGAGCTGTAACCACAGATTGCTGCCCAGGAATGCCCGTGCTGCTCTGACAGCACCGAGCTACTCATAAATACCTCTGTGGATCAATAGTATTCCTCAGAGAGACCAGCTCAGGATGGCAGGAGAACCAAAACTGCCACTGAAAGCTAATTTAGGAACAGGAAACCTCCCCTATAGTGAGGGCTGATTATGCTTTTCAAATGCATTCAGTGAGTACACCTGAGTCAGAGACAGTAAAGATTCTGGGGCAAGAAAATGCCATTAAAATATTTAATCAGACAGAAGTTCAAGTCATACTGACTCCAAGCTGTCAGCTCCCCCTTCCTAGGCCAAATCATTTTCAGTTTCCTACTGCTAGGGATTATCGAAGTCATAACTATTTACTGGTGTTCTTGCATGCTATTGCTCTCTAGTGAGTGATATCATCAGGGTCTGCTTTAATCTGTTCATTTTTCCTACTGTCCTGCCAAGGGATGAACAAGTTCAGCTACTTAACAGAAACCTCCTTCCATTTTTGTCCTTCTCTTGATCTGATTTGAGCTCAGCCCTTTCTCTGTGATGGTAAATGATGACCTCTGCTCGTCAGGCACTGCACTCGTGACTGCCAACAGCCTGCGTGCCTCTGAGGCTGCACATCCTCTCACCAGGCAGGGGCACAGCCCTGAGAGGGGAGGCAGAATGAAAACAAACAGAGAGATTTGCCAGAGCAGCCCTGTAAATGTTAATTACAGCAGCCTGGCTTCTAATGGAGTGGGGCACTGACAGCAGAGAATCCATGCTCATCAATCCACCGAGGGGATTCTGGACAGGCTTCCATCAGTTTAACCTGGGGCTGCTGGAGGGAACCTTCAACCCAGCTATTTGGGGAGACAAAAGAAGCAGAGGTTGTTTATTTCTGCTCTCCCCACGTTGATTGCATCAAGTCAGACCATATCCAGACTCCTCTTTTCTTGTCCATTTCTTTCTAGACTTCCATGCAAACACTGTGCTTTGAAAAGCCAGACTGTCAGCACCTGTGACAGCAAAATAATGCCTTGCTTTTGAATGGCTCATCATGGATGCAATGACACCATAATACAGCTCTGAAGGGAACTGGTCAGCACCTGCAGTTACTCTCCACATTGGAGCTCAGTTGCTTGATAAATTTCCCCTCAATCACAGGCTTGGGTTTGGCTGACAGCTTCATAAGAAATTAAAGCTAGGTGCAACTTGGTGGAACAGGCTCTTAAATTACAGTAGATGCTGCAGTGTTATTATTAGCTTTTTATCACCTCGGGTAGCAAAAGCTGAAATTACTTTTACATATTCAAAGGAAGAAGCTCTGAAATTGCAAAACAATGCTGTCGCCATAAAATGTACCAACAATTTCCAAATAATCCATTATCTTGACATTAAGACCAGCAGTAATTATTTCCAGTTACAGCTGCAGCAGACAAATGGAAACAGGAATGTTGTGGAAATGGGAATGTGAGAACTCCTAAAGTATGAGAACTCGTGATGCAATTCTCCAAATCCTGGAGCCTGTTATTTTGGTCTGTATGATGCCAGTCAGTAAAAGGTGGGTGTAATGTTTGATTTGTGCAGCCAGAAGGAGGGAGCAATGAACAGCTCTGTGTGTACTGTTCTACCATTTTCTATTTCAGCCTGAGAACGTGGTGTCCAGAGAAGCCTTTTCCCCACGTAC